TCTGAATGTTCCAGGGGCCGGAGAAATTCATCCATAGCTTGGAATGCCAATTCACTGGGAATGTTGGTGGAGCGTTGGTGGAGATTTCGCGTGTCTCGAAACCTGTTTTCAATCTCTGGTCTGTTTCTAGCTTCGATTTCTCCAAGATTCCTTCTTTTCGTTCAAAAGAGTCAGAGAGAAGCTGTATCGGGACGGATTCGTTGAGGGGGATCAAAACAAGTAGCCGAGCAACGCGTACTTTGCGTTGATAGGAAGAAGACGCTTTATATTTTCGACTCTATTGTGTTGCTTGTCGAAATGAACACAGAGTCTACTCGCGTGAGAGTAAACAAAGCACTCATCAAAATACCCCTTTGTGCCATCCCGAGTGCCAACTGGCTATCAACACACGGTACAGTATTCCCGCGATTAGTACTCGGTCCGATCTGCAGGATGAGTACCCGGTAGTCATCTCCACCCTGCGGGTGATCCCCTCGGCAACTCAACAATCCGGTCGAGCAGTGATAATATGATACGCTGTTCAGTAGTGGTAGATATCGGTGAGACAATATTAACGCAACGATAAAACCTTTTTATGAGGGTTTTTTTTTGTAAATGAAACTTTTACTAACGCATTTGTGAGATTCTTTCGATTAAAATAAGACCAAACGTGAGATACTTTAAGTCACAATTTACTAAAAGAAAATAGATTATTGTAATGTATTAAATAAGTAAATATATTCCAAAATATATCGTGTTTGGTCTGATTTTAATCAGAAAAACCGTATAATTCAATTGGTATCAGTTTCAATTAGTAAAAGTGAAAAATACAAAAGTGTAATGTTGCATTGATATTCCCTCATTTATCTGTTTGTTTCGAGCGTTCCGCTTGTTCATTCGCGTCGTCTTTTCCTACAGAAGAGGACACGACTCGGGTCTTATTTCGACTTCGAATCAACATCACTGCACGATTAGTGCCCGGTTGCAGTCCCGATTTTCGGGTAGTAATCACGAGAGTACTGTATACGAGTCGGCGATCACCCAATTGTTTCGTACATCGCAGATAATCGCAGATAATCCACAAACGAGTCCAATACCGCTGCCACGAACACTCCATCTTACGTCCTGACAAAAGCGGTGCCCTTTTTATATAACGAACATTTCGTTTCGCGGGGGAGGAACGTTCGAACGCGACAGAGTGTCCGGTATTGAGAACGGTGTCGACGGGAGAAGGGAAACTCGTTTCTTCGAATTCTACGGGGAAACGAGCAGAGGAGGCGGAACCGCTTAGTAGCTCCGAAAGGGATTCACAAAGGACAGAATGAAAGAAAGCAGTGAAGCTGATGGAAACGCGGGGAGTATTCATTCCGGCGCCGTTCCCGGAAGACCTTTCGACTAGTTAAAAACTGTCGGAATTGAGACAGCCGGACGTGTAAAGTGATAAAGATGAATCTTCCGGTTTATCTGATATACCCTCTCGACCGATATTTTTCAGCTCAGCCGGATGAAGCGTGAAGTACGAAAACTCGAAAGTAGAGGGGTTGTTTGGCATGCAAAACAACTCGCAGACTTTTCGTCCCTTCATTGCTTATGCAATCATCGAGCGAACCCGGAATGAGATATCCGGGAAGTGGTGTTTGACGGTGACAAGGGAATGATAGACGGCGAGCACGGAACTATTTCTATGGAGATACTACACCGAACTCGGTCGCAGGAATTCAAGATTCTCGGCGACGTGTAATGGAACACCGTGTTTTAACCGGAAACGCGGGCGATCAAGCCTTCAACTCTAATATTCGCTCGGTTATTGTCTTACGTTTGAATAATTTTTTTTACGAAGACATTGTCGGCGCTTACTTTATAGCTATCCACGAATACGGTGTATTTTGTGATAGCGTGTACGATAGTACCGCGATCATAGCGGGCAAATAATAAAACTTGAACTTCGTAACAGCTTACCAACGGTTACTAAAAAAATCATAGCGCATAACTGGAAATGTATCATCAAACTCGAATAGAATTTTCTTCGCGTCGGTGGTATTCATTTATAAATGGACGGAATAACGTTAAAGTGTTATCAACCACGTTACTTTCTCCCATTTCAAAAAATGACCAACGAGGAGAAAAGCAAATTCGATCATTCGCTGGCATCCTCGAATGGATCGTTGATCCAGAAAATATTGAGAGGAATGTCGGTGTTGAGAGGAGCTGTCGCCATTTTTCATGCTCTCGAAGACGGTATCATGTATCGCAAGCGAACTGGAAATGGGTAAAAGAAGTCTTGGACCCGACCGTGGCAGGAAGGGGACGATGTTCTTCCGGTACGTGCTTGGCTATCGTTGTAAGCAGCGGCGGATAACGATTCGAGCTTCCGAAGAGTCGATTCTCTCCTTGAAAAGGAATTGCTTCCAACGCTGTGGTTTGGTATCAGTTTCATCGTAAGATCGAAAATTCAAAAGCGGCTTCTCGAGCTCTTCCGATTACCCCTTCGTGGGCTGCTTATTGAAAAAGCTTTATAAATATCTTGTTCTGTCATTACGTGCATGATATATCATTCTACATCGTGAAACGTTAAATTATTATCGACGACGACCAAGACTTCTTATGTTCCTAAAGGTAAACTATTAATGCACCTCGTAACCGGACGTTTCTGTTTTAATCGTCTTCAAGATGAACGGGAACAAATGTAACAACGCTGCGAGAAGGAAGAAACAGGATTGGAAACAGAATTAGAGACGATTCCTTCAATGAAACGGAGGATTGTCGAGCGTTTTCTCTAAAGCCACTTCGTTACACGTCACGTCTCCCGAGGACGCGATTGACAAAAGACAAGGAGGAGTTCCTTGAATCGGTTTACTAAGGCTTTCATTCTGTTTCTATTGCATTGTTCGTCACACGTTGTTCATTACGTGTACTAATGGAAGCGTAACCGTTGGAAAGTAAATTTGAGAAATATCGAATATTTTGGAGTTACCGGAGTATTATTGAACACACTCTTTTAACCAGTTAACTGTGGAATTTAGTTTGAAAAATCTCTCATTGTGTACACAACAAAGTCGAGCAATGAAGTATGCACTCGTCAAACGAAGAAAAATTATACGTGTATCTGAAAAAATAACTAATTCATCGTTGGAAAGATTGGTATCATTTCGAGTTTTAAGATGACGTGTATACTCGTCAAACTCAGTTAACTGGTTAATTGCGAAGATTAAACAGAGAAAAGGCAGATGATAGAATCGGAATATAAGGAAAATATAATTTGAAGAGCGGAGTAGAAATGTATTCATTGCGAAAGATTATGCCTTCCTGAAGTCTTCTTATTGTGAACGAAGTAAAGGACCGGTAAAAGTTTAAACGACTCGACGGAAGGAACGGAAGCGGACACTGTAATAGGAAAGAAGAGGAAATCGATCGAGTGTCAGTTGCCTCGACGAGGGTCTGATTTTCCCGTTGTATCGTTTCTAGTTCCATTCGAAACGGCCATTAAATAGCAAATAGCTCGTGAGTACTAGTACATCACGAACCGCGTGTCACGTACATGAAAAACTGATAGTCAAACATGGATGATTTTAGTCATCTGAAATATGCCATTTGTATTTTAACCCTAGGACTCCAGAAGCCTGCGACGTGGTGCAAATATTTGAAGGGACACATAACCCTTTAAATATCATTTAATTTAATTATTTTCATTTCCAAATATTTCAATATCTTTTTTACACGTTCATCTTATAAAATGGTTTTTTAAAGAAAGTTTTATAACGTTTGAATGTATCGTATATGAAAAGAGAAATACGAAACGTGTTTTCGTTAAATGTATTTTTACTTCTAGTCGAATGAACATGCACAAAGAATGTGCTAATATAGCAGTAATAAACGTTAATAATTTACTTTGGAAAAAATACATAAAGAATAGATGAAAATTTTGCGATGAGAAAGATTTTGATTCATTGTTGCTCTATGGTTGTAGGGTAGTATATCTACAACTATAAGAATGTCCATTTTAGACGCTAAAAAGTTATGTATTGTCAATGCGTCATAATCTGGAATATTGAGATATCATAGCATAAGAATATTATTTTCTGCCATTACATTTTTCAGGAGTTCTAGGGTTAATTGGTAACCTGATCTGACATTACTATCCTGCATATTCTACCGTTTTTTCCTTTTTTGTGGTTCTACTCTTACAGATGCAACTGTGACAGGTTTGTCAAGCTTGTATCTTTCCTGATTCTTAATTTAATGCTACTGAACACTCGATTAAGGTACTTCATCTGTACGCAGTATATTTAAGGCATTACGAATGATTTTTCTGTGGAGTTCGTAAACAACATCCAAAATTTTTTAACTGTTTCAAATGATGCAGGAAAGAAGTGTCTCCATTATCAATTAAAATAATAAAAATTACAAAAAAAAATGTTTTGTTCGTATTAAAAAAAAAGTAAAATATTTTTTAGATACTTTTCGGTTTTGAATTAAATAAAAGTTATAGTATTATTGAACCTTTTATAAATGTATATTTACTAATATTTAATTTTACCAATATTTATATTAAAACTTTTTATTCTCTATTTTAAATAATTATTTGCAAGTTCCATCAGTTTGAATATCATAGTAGTTCTGTATCATACGAACAACAACATACT